AAAATATCGGTAATAATAAGTATCGGGAAAGCAAAATATCAGTAAATATCGATGAAGCAAAATGTCGGTTAAGCCCAAAAAGTGTGTCGTGGAACCCTAGGGTTCCTAAGTTCTGAACAGGAGTTTTCCAATTTATATGTTTTTGAAGCGAATGAAGTTTTTAATCAAATAATATCTTAACATTTCAGTTTCTTGAAATATATTTAAATTGGTAATTTGTTTATAGCGAACTCAAATTTCTTTTTTGCTGGTATTTAAATAATTGTTACGAAATTTTATTCCAGGTGGAAAGTTCAAAAGTATATAATTATGATTTTTTAAATAAAAATGAAGTAATACATATTGTAAAAGAGTGTTTTAAATGAGCCATTCTGCTGAAAACAATCATGCGAGTAATTCTAAAAACAGGTATCTATAAAAGAGCGAATCGAATTTGTTGCACAAAAAATCCAAATTTTTTCCCTTTTGAAGCAGAATTTTTATTTAACCAGGGGTCTGTTTAGAAGAAATTTGGGTCCGTTAACGGATCCTTCACAAAATAATTTATCTTTTAATTGGACCCATCACAAATTTGTTTATCTTCAGTATTGTTTTGCTAATCGAATGAACCCTTCCCGGGGGGGGGGTGCAGAAAGACGGTTCGAAACGAACTAAGTTTTCCAAGTTTCCCTAAGTTTGAATTCCAAACTAATTCTAAGAAAATATTTCTACATTTACAAACATCGTGTGCACATTCTTATTGATATTAAATGATATTTTTTTTGTAAATAAATAATTGATCAATTTATATTTATTCATAAATTTAATTAACAGAATATTATGTAAATAAAAATTAATTTCTGGCAAATTTTTTAATTAAAATATTATAAACACAAGAATTGTTTACATTTACTTCATGGGTAACACATTAAAAGTGTAATATTTAAAATATGTCAATTGAAATTATTAATGATTTTGTTTCCATTATTCGTCCGAAATAAATATTCTGTGTTGAGCAATACAGGCTAAATACCAAATATCTGTATGTGGCATCTCTAATTTAGTAGCAGCAATTGTTGAGCAGAATCTTGTATCTATTTACAATTTAAAAACTTCTTGAAAAGGTTTTTTGCAATAACAGGACCCTATTTGCACAAATTCACAAAAGCAGGACCCTGGTTGAAAGAATGTGATTTAACGCTTAGTTTATATTCACAAATTATGAGTAGTTTTTTTACAAATTTACAAAAACAGGAAATTTCACAAAATGTCTGGACAGACCCCTGTTAACATATTTTTAATACCTTTTCATTATTTTGTATTAATTAAGGTAAAAAAAGTGAAAAATATTTATATTAGCATTTTAATAATTTATAGTTATAAAATACAGCCTGAAACACTGATGTCTTTTTTAGCGTTAAAGGTAAAATCTTCCTAACATGGCTTACTTCCATACAATAATTTTTCAAATTTGCACTTATATGCAATCATTTAGATCAGAGAGAAACAGTTATGCATAGTTGAAGTTTCTTTAATTTACAAAATCAATTTCAAACTACTTCTTTTGGAATTTATATTTTTATACAAATAAAATTTCGATAATCTAACACATTTCTTTACGTAACTATTAGACTGTTTTTATAATAATAAAGGAATATCAAAATATATTTTTGCTAGTAATAAGAGAGTCAGAAAAAATGTGTCAAAGGGTTAATTACTACTTTCTTCACAAACAGCAGAAATAAAAACGATTAAACACTAAAAAAATTTCCGAAAATGGTGATATTTGAAAAGATAAACATTCAACAAAATCGTTGCAGGTTGAAAACCACTTTATTACATGGAAAGTATTTTGAATGTTTTTTTTTTACGTTCCGATTAAAAGTTTCGTTATATGAAGGATTTCGCTATAAGAAAACTATATTGTAGAAAGACTCTATATATCAAGTTTGCCAATAATTCATAAAGCTAATTTTGCGCATTAGCAAACATTATTTCTAACAACACTACAGCAATACGTTAGAAAATATTTTTTCTAAGATTTTGGATATAACGAACCATCGTTTATAGTAAACTTATTGTTGGATCCGCTGATGGTTCATTATAGCGGGATCGAATTCTATTTTGTTTGTATGTTTTAAACAATAAAAAAAAGTTTATATAATGAATTAATTCAACTTTAATTAGGTTTGAAGTTCATACAAAATACTAATACATTAGAAATTTTAAAACTTTATAACCTATACTAAAATCAGATGTTACCTTTTTTCTAGTGATAAATTACTTAACCTATATTATGTATCAGACGTGTGGCTACTAAGATTTTCAGAATTTACTCTAGAACGTTAAGATAAGGTTGAAGATAGGGTAAAAAAAAACATATCTAAAACAAAGTCACTTTGTTTTAACGACAAAATTCAAAAACTTTGAATGAAATCGGATGAATAGTTCCTGAGACATAAATATTCACATATGCGCATTATTTTTAATATGTGTATAATTGCAAACACATTAGATTTAAAATTAAATATACATTTATAAATTTTATTTAACAAAAAGGATGTTAATTAAAAAAATGTACGCCTTCACGTTAAACAGTTTTTTTTTTATTAGATAATGAATTTACATATGCTCCTTTGTCATGAAACTATGTGCACCCTAATTTAATATCAATGCTAATTCTTATAGACCTAATTATTTTTAAATATATCATTAAAATATCATACCAACTTGATCCTTTTCTCGGAGAAATAATTATGTAAGGGATTAAAAGTGAATTGAGGCAACCTTTACCCCCCCCCCCCAACAAAAAAGTCATCGTCATCCATTTTCCGGCTTTTTCCTCCCACCTTTAAAATATACAATGGCTATATTTTTCTCCTCACGTTTATTAGCCCCTGAACACTTAATGCAATCATCCGAAGTGAAGGGGGTTGGGGGAGAATTAAGGGGAGAGGAGAGTGCTGGGGGTAATCCAGAAGTTCTCCTGCTACTCCCACAACGAAAATTGTCATTCATTCCCTGGTATCGATTCATCAAAAGATAATAGTTAATTTCTCTTGTATGTCCGTTTACTTAGTTTGTAATCTTGATTTCGAATTGCTGAAAACCTTTTTGTTTCCTGTTTTCTATCATTTATATCTATCTGTTCTGCTAATCTATCAGGATTTTGCTCTTCTAATTTGTTTTTCCTGATTTGGAATTGCGGAAAATCTTTTTCTATCATTTATTTCTATTCTGATTATCTATCAAAAGTTTGTTTACCTATCTTCTTTTTCTGATTTGGGATTATCTATCAAAAGTTTGTTTACCTATGTTCTTTTTCCGGATTTGGAACTGCGGAAAACCTTTTTCTATCATTTATATCGATTCTGATTATCTATCAAAAGTTTGTTTACCTATTTTGTTTTATCTGATTTGGAATAGCGGAAAACCTTTTTCTATCATTTATATCTATTCTGATTATCTTTCAAAAGTTAGTTCAACTATGTTGTTTTTCCAGATTCGGAATTGCGGATATCTCTTTGTTCATCTATTTTCTATCATTTACATTTATTCTGCTTATCTATCATAATTTTGTTCATCTATTTTGTTTTTCCAGATTTGGAATAGCGGGAAATCTTTTTGTTTATTTATTTTCGATCATTTATATCTATTCTGCTTATCTATCAAAATTTTGTTCATCTATGTTGTTTTTCCTGATTTGAAATTGCGGAAAACCCTTTTGTGTATCTATTTTCTATCATTTAGATCTATTCTGTTTATACATCAGAATTTTGTTTTTTTCTTTTATCCGGAACAATAAAACACAATCATATTTAACATGGTTTTTCTAATTGGGTTTTTAAAACAGCGGTATTTATCAAGATTTTTCTATTTCGGTTTTTAAGGCAGCGGTTCCTAAATGAACCTTGGGGTTCCATGAAAGCATTGCAGGGGTTCCGAGCGTTTAGTGTTTTTTTAACTAGTACTGTTTTTAAAGCTAGTAATTAAATTTATATCAAATTAATAATCCTTTATTTATTTAATATTTTCGTTATTTTCATAAAATTATTGAATTAAAATACTTGTGAGGAAATACATTTTAAAAAAATATTTTTTTCTAATAACAATATAATAAATAAAAGGATATTCATTTATGAAAAATTCTAATAGTATTCCAAATCGAATAAAATACACTAGATGCCGCTTCAGACCTGTGAATTCAATTGTCTGACATAAAAACCAATTTTAAGAGAAATATCGATAAAACGATATGATGAAAAAATTTCATTCTTTATTCAATCGCTAAATGTTTTCAAAATAATTAATAAAAATTTAAATTATTAAATATTTTTAAAATATTTAATATTCTTTGGTTAATTAATATAAGCTCTAGGACTGTGAATTCAACGGTCGGATATAAAATCTAATTTAAGATTATTAATGATAAAACGCTGAAAAAATACGATTCATCTTCTTAAATATTTTCAAAATCAAGCAGACTTTTATTGGATAATACGTTTATAATTGTCTTTTCTTCAGTTATTAAGTCGGGGTTCCATCGAAAGAGCTTTGATCGTTTAAGGTTCCATAGCTAAAAAAATTTGAAACCACTGATCTAGAGACTAGAGTCTCGAAATTTCGGGAAGGTAGATAAAGCTTTTGCAGCCAAGATCACAAAAATGATCACCCCCCTAACTTGGGGAATGTCCCATTGTCAATCTTTTCTTTGTCATTGTCTTTCCTTTGCCCATAAACTGCTATTGGGTGCTGATAAAATAAAAATGTGGATTTTTGGGAAAATGTAATAAAAAAATTATAAAGATTCGTTATTTTCAGACAAAAATGTACAAGCACATACTTTCATCTAAAGCTCATTTTTTCATATTATACAGTAAAATTAGAGACCTTTAAAGTACAAATTATGATAAGGATTCAGAAAACATATATTAAAAACGGAGATAACGATACAGCCCGCATGTAGAAATTATTTCACGGATAGTTAAATACATTGAATAAATTTTATAAAAAAAACTTACTTCTTTTATCGAGAATTTCCAATGTTTTATAAGATCCATATCCAATAAAGAGCATCATTTAGCAAGTCCACTGAAATATTTGAATAATTTCACATAAAAACGATAAAATAAAGTATTAAACAATACAAAGATGGAAGTATTCATGAAATTTAATAAAGAAAAATGCTTATTTGTCTTTAATAAACTTTTGCGCTATGTCATGCAATTTTTTTTAACTACATTAAATTTTCTTTTTTATAAAATTAGCCATAAAATTGTGAGAATTATCAAACGACTTCTTAAAAAAAAAACATGTGCACCATTTTAAAAACACTCAGATTTTTAAGTTCACGAACATATATCAGTCTTATGATTCGGCCTTTATTTGGCAGAAGTCAATAAATATAAAGGTGGTTGCCAACGGGAAGGAAAAATTTTTAACATCAATAGCACTCACCATGTTTTGTGGAATTTGATAGCTACTCTTTTGTTACTCAACGTGTTTTACGGAATTTAATGGCTAATCTTTTGTTACTCAATATGATTTATAGAATTTAAACGCTAATCTTTTGTTACTCAACACGTTTTATGCAATAATCTTTTGCTACTCAACATGTTTTGTGCAATTTGATAGCTACTTTTTTGTTACTCAACATGTTTTATGGAATTTAATGGCTAATCTTTTGTTACTCAACATGATTTATAGCATTTGATCGCTAATTTTTTGTTACTCAACATGTTTTTCCATATGTTCTACACATTTAATTAATCTAAGGTATTATTACTGAAAATTACACTTCTGGTTCATAAGAATTTACGTTATTATATTATGGTTTTAAATTATTAATTAATTAAAATTTTAATTAATTAAAATTTTAATTTATATTTGATTTTATTTACTCTTGTATTTGTTTCTAAAAAATGAGCATATATTCATTTATTACGTTTTGTCGTTTCTCTTTAAAACGACGATTAAATCAACAATGAAAACGTTGCAGGGCGTTCAACAATTAAAAAAAAAAAATAAATAAAAAAAAAAAACTGAATAACTTCTGATCTTCACATTCTAGAACTCTGTCTTAATGGTTCGTGGGGTGACCTCAAATATTCTAATTAATTACTGCAGACGATATTTTAAGTTAAGAAATCAGACACAAAAACGTACTTTTCCGTAATTTGGGAAATATAGTTCCAATAGTTTTGCCAATAGAGCGGTCCAAAGTTTGAACACTTTAAAGCTAATTTCCCTTTTTGCGTATTTCATCATATCTCGAGAACTTTTTAAGCTGATTGAAAAATCTTAGTCACACAGTTATCACTTAAACACAGTTATAAAATTCGTTTATGCACAGGCAATTTTATGCAAAATATAAATTATTTTTTTAATATTTTATTTAATGTATTAAATTAATATATTTTTATACATTAAAAAATAGCTTTAGTTCTTGGTATGGTTTTCAAAGAGAAATAAAAATGTTGCAAGTGCATTTCTGAAATACGTTTATGTAATGATAAAACCATAGTGTGTTTTACAACTATTCCATTGTTGTAACATTTGGCTACAATATTACGTTTTTGCGCATGCCAAACTGAGAGATTAATTACCATCCTAGTGAGAAAACATTTCAGGCACATTATCACTGTTGGAACAGCTTTCAACCACCCAATGAAAACGCTACACATACATCACGGAAGCGTATCCGAAAACATAGCATAATACAATTAATAATCCGTTCTGATAGCATTACTAAATAATATTTTTGTGATTTTGAACTTAAAACTGACAGAATAATTTTTTCGTGATAAAAAAACTTTTCAGGCACGTTTTAATTTTTTGTCAGCGACCAACAGCCGCTTTCAACAAACAGAGACAGATTTTATTCTTCAAAATTTAAATAAATATTATTATTATTGCATACATTTTGATTTTATCTTAAAAATATTATTTAAAACACGATCAGGTAATAATTAGGAATATTTTGTTTTATGTTAAAAACATGACATCATCTTAAAAATAATGAAGAACGAGATCTTTTCCTAGATTATTTATAACAGAAAGAATGCAGAGGAAAAAAATTGTTGTCTCAAATAAAGTTCTTTTAAACATATTACTAATTTAAAATGCTACTAATAAAAAGTACTTTTTAAGCAGAAGCATCATCTATTTTTAAAAATATTTTTATTCATAATGGATTTTAATAAAAATATTTTTTATTCAAATAAACTCTGCAATAACAAAACTTCGTAAGGTGTTCGATTTATTTGAAAAAATAATTTCAACCATCATTTTGATGTTGTATTTTAAAGTATAATTTAATTGAGATAATTTCAAAATGGAATAAAAAAAAGTTTGTATTTCAGATGCCGAAATGTATAATATTTTTAAATATAATTTCATTTAAATAAATTCAAGAGGAGAAGGAAGAATTCACGTTTCGCAAAACGGAAAATAAAAATAATTTAAACGAGATGATTTCCTATTTTAATTATCGTTCAAATTTAAAGCAGATATTATTCGAACCAAAACTACCAAACTCAGATTCGGTGAATAAAATATTCGAAGATAAATTATTCAAGGTGGTAGAATTGAGGAAAAATTTAAATAAATAAATTTCCTCGAGTACACTTCAAGATAAATTGAAAAAAAAGAAGGAAAAAAAAACTAAGATTCATTTTCAAATAAGCTAAAATATAATTTTTGACAGAAAAGCGACTTTTTATTGCAAAATATGCATTATTAATTTAAGAAATTTTAAATTTAAGAAAACAGTGTTAAATTAGAATTTTTTTAAGTTATTTAAAAAAGAAAGAAGAAAACAGTTATTGTTATTATAACCGCCTATAAAATAATTTTCAAGAATAAATATTATTCAGGGTCTGAATAATCAGTATCTACACATATCTAAAAATTAACTATAAAATAATATTTAATTCACTATAAAAATATAATAAAAAATTAAAAACAATCTACAAATAAGAAAATGATTAATTTTATGTATATAGGTAGAAGAGAGATTATTTAAAATCACATCACTCTCATCAAAAAAATACGTTTAAATATATCTATGTTAATTAAAAATACCATATTAATCCCTAAAACAAATTATACATAAAACTTAAATAAAGAATTATTAAAACTTGATAAAATAAAATTATCATACTAATCACTCAGATCACATAATCATATTAATTACTATATTAATCATCACTCATATTAATCAAATTAGTCACTCAATCATTCACTATCATTCATTAATCACTCACAAATTAATCACTCATATTAATCACTATATTGATCATATTAATCACTAAAAATATACTGAAAAATCTAAGTTCATGGGATCTTATGGGAAAGTAGATCTACATGGGATCTAAGTGTTCTATTCCTCCGTACACTGTAAAATCATCCAGACCAAATTACGGTAAAAATTGTCGGCACTCAGGTACCGGTACTTTTTACCGGAACATGTTTAGAACAAAAAATATGATGTGACGAATTTTTGAATTAACTGTAAAATCACTGAATTACTTCAACTAAACAAATATTGGTGTAAAAATTACGGTATAATATTTTACGGTGACAACGGATTTTACGGTAAAATGGATTTTATAGATGATGCACCCAAAGCTCCGGTACTTCATACCGTAATTTAATCCAGAATTTTTTGAAAGAGAATTTGATAACTTATAAATCAATATATGTAGTCAAAAATTATATAATTGACAGATTCATCAGACGCAAAGTGTAGTGAATACTTATTATAATTCTTAAAATTTCTTGCTAAGACAAAGCAGGGGTCTGCTTAGAAGAAGTTTGGGTCCGTTAACGGATCCTTCACAAAATATATTTTCATAAAAACGGACCCTTCACAAAATATTTTAACTTAAAAACGGACCCTTCACAAAATGATTTTTCTTTTAATCGGACCCTTCACAAATTTGTTTATCTTCATTATTATTTTGTTAATCGAATAAACCCTTTCCAGGGCAGAAAACAAGAAAGATGGATGTAAACGAATTAAGTTTTGTCTTCGGCAGACGATTCTTCCATTATTCGTCCGAAATTAATATTCTGCGTTCAGCAGTATAGGCTAAATACCAAATATTTGTATGTTGCATCTTTAATTTAGAAGCAGCAATTGTTGTTTATTTTTTAAAATTCAATTTTTTTAATTATAATTTTACAGTGTTGAGCATAATCTTGTATGTCTTTACAATTTAAAAACTCCTTGAAAAAGTTTTTTTCTGCAATAACGGACCCTATTTGCGCAAATTTATGAAAGCGGACTCTGGTTGAAAGAATGTGAGTAATTTTTTTCACAATTTCACGAAAAACGGACCTTTCACAAAATGTCTGGACAGACCCCTGATAACAGTTATTTACTTTGATATTTAAGGCTTGGCATTCATTTATAAACTGCATAAAAAGTCGTGTCACAAGCACTGAAGTAAGTTAAACCGTAGTTTAATTGTTTATGACATGGCATTTATTAAAGACAAGAATAAAAAATCGTGTCACACGCATCAAAATACATAAAGCATTTACATTTATGCTTGTGGCATTAAAGTAAATAAAACCATTTGAATGCTTATAACACCGCATTTACTTAAAAAGTAGTTACGTCAAAAAAGTAAATATAACAATTATTTACATTGTTGCTTACGGCATTAAAAACTATCATTTACTTTGATACCAATGACATCGCATTTACTTAACCCTTCATTAAAAATTATGTCACAAGCATTAAAATAAATAAAACAGTTATTTACATTGACGTTTATAGCATTTATGTCAACAAAACTATTAATTATTAATTATGATATTGTATTTATTTAAAAACTGCATAAATAATCATTTCATTTCAATTTAAGTAAATAAAAGTTATTTACTTTAATGCTTTAAAAGAGACATTTATTAAAAAGCTGTATAAAAATTCAAGTCATGGGCTTTAAATCAGGGGTCTGCTTAGGAGAAATTTGGGTCCGTTAACGGACCCTTCACAAAATATCTTTTCATAAAAACGGACCCTTCACAAAATAATTTATCTTTTAATCGGACCCTTCACATATTTGTTTATCTTCATTATTGTT